GGGGTACCAGAGGAGGGGGGGCTCCTGAACTATTCGGGACATAGGTAGGTAGATCAATAGGGGGTTGAAACAGGCGACACAGCTCTCTCTCGATGATGGAACGTACGCAAGCACGATGATTCCACCCCTGGTACCGACTCGGTCTGTGGGTGAAGCAAAGAGTGAGCCGGTACTCACTTTGGAGACGAAGGATCGGTTGCCCCGACGACCATATTCCATAGCTACATTACTCAGGTAGGGATGGGACGATCCTAGTGACTCTCCGCCCCCCGGGCGAGTACTTCCTCGCCTCCATGTGGCCCGGGCCTAAAAAAGTTGGTCGGGTTGGAAAACCGGGGGAAACAGCCTCCCCGGGTAACGCCCACCGCAGTCCCCCTGCTAACGTGGCGGGGGCTGTGTGAAAGCTACAGGCGCTAGAAGCCACAGCTGGGCCTTGGGGGGGAAATCGCACTTCCCCTCTCCCGGGAGACGTTGAGCATAATCTAATCTAATCTAAAAGGGCCTCCTACCGCTTGAGAAATTGATTTTAAATACTGAAATAAATGTTAAACCGAATATTAATTTGGCATAAATGTCAGTAACTCCAGGACCAAATGGTAAGAGGTCTTTCCCTTAGATCACTTTTTCCCCTAGTGGTAGCCAAGTTTGCTCGTGAGGGTACACATGCAGCCACCTCGGTCCCCTTGACCGCTGCTGTTAAGGTTGACCTTAAATTAAGATACGAATAATCTAAAACCAGGGAAAAAAGGTATTGTCTCTTCAAGGAAAGCGTCGAGAGAGGAGCAATTAGCGTTAACGTCAATCATGTCAGATCGTTCCTTCCCGTTCGACCTAATGAAACGCCCAATTTCGAGAACTGACTGCGGCGCTCGTTCGGAAACTTCAGCAAGGGTCGCGGTTTTGTGATGATACTGTCCTGCGTCGCGAAGTGCTGCACGATGCTATGAAACAAGTGCATACGTTAATTGCATCTCGCTCGAAGCTTCACTCGATAGGACAATACCTTTATTCCTGAAATATTGCATATTGACTTAATGTATGTTTTATGTGCAATGTGTATATTATTACCACATCGATCTTACTCCAACTGTTTGAGATTCTTGTTCTCGCGAAAGAATATGCAATAAATATAGATCATATAAAACGTATGTTAGAATGAAACTAAGATGAAATTTGTCGCACCTGCATTACAATGCACAAATAAAATAAAGAAATTGTGAAACATATACATTTTGTGTAACATGAACCATTTATAGCATGGAGTTAGCATTTGACGTTAAAGGTTCTTTTTACAAGTTAATTTCAAGAGGGACAGCCAGAAACATAATCGGTAGAGGTGTGCGGATATGTACCCGAGATTTCGGGCTTGGTCAGGCGCCCGTAATACACGTTTAAGCAGCCTGACGCTTCAGCTCACATCGAAAGAAGTCGTGTGGGATCGACTGAAGGGCCACTGATCAACAAGCGCCCAACAGTACCGCGAGTAATGAGGAGACACCCTCGACCATAGACATATATAGACGGAGCATGAACTGATCGGAGGAGTAAGATGCGCGGTAAGGGGGTGGTTAGTTATAAATCGGGTAACGTTGTTCCTTTTCGGTGCTATTCGGGTATACAATCACGTTACATATATGTATGCTATAAGAGATGAAAAGAATATACTTGTTATACGTTAAAAATTCCGTATGTCATGTAAATAAATAGTCAAAATTAATAAATAGTATAAAGCATTAAATAATAGTACGGCACACAGCCCACCAGCCATTAATAACGAGCCGAATCGAGGCGAATGCATCCGAAGCTAACCGACGTATATCTAACGACCGTTGTATTTTCCCCTCCAATCCTACGGTTCCCTCGCCCAAAGCGGTAGCTTATGCTCCGTCTATATAGGGTGTAACAAAAACGTTGTCCGACCCGGAAATGGGGCACTCGGGGGGTGAATTGGAACAAGTTTTTCCTTAGCAATAATGTAATCTGAGACTTCGTTACGGAGATATTAACGAAAAACCCCGACCAATCGGAGCGCGAGTTTACCAGCAGAGCTGCCGCGCTAGCGGTGGCTACGCGCTGCGACTGGTAGGCAGCGTTACCGCGGGAACTCGGCTGGTAAACTCGTGCTACGATTGATCGAGGTTTTTCGTTAATATCTCCGTAACGAAGCCTCAGATTACATTGTTGCTAAGGAAAAACTTGTTCCAAATCACCCCCCGAGTGCCCCATTTCCGGGTCGGACAACAATTTTGTTACACCCTGTATATGTCTATGCCCTCGACATCGTGACCGAATAGCTCCGAGTGGCGTACGAAAAAAAATACAGTTGTTGCTGTAAGAATAATGCAGAGAGAAACGCGATCTCTAAAACACTTTCCCCATGCAGCTTTTCCTTCCAAAAAAGTATTGACCATAGAAAATTAGGGATCGACCTACCAGTAGTCGACTACTAGTAGGCTACTACGCCACATCGATCTTAATGAGGGAGGATCAGTTCAACATTTTCAGTTGCTATGTTCATGTTCGAAAACTAATTTTAGTTGATTTAGTAATTACGTAGTAATTATTTAGTAGTTAGGATACGTGGATATTATGAATAGTGTAAATTAATTATTGTATATGTTATTTTTGTGTAACGTGCACAGTGACAAACGCAATGGAAGAACAGAGCGCGGGTCTAATTAAATGCGAAATGTGTGAACATTTTTCGCGGTCGGGACAATCGCAATGTGTGTGTGGACATTTCTCGCGGATTTCTGTGGTGTACAAGCATGTGTGAATCAATTTCATGGATACTCGTGGACAGGACAATCGCTGTTCGTCACAACCAGAGAGAATATTAACCTTCCATACTCGATAATATTCGTAAGAAAATATTTACATTTCCTGCCAATTTTATCGAGTAATTAGAGTTAATGCGTTACAAGTGGATTCGAATCAAATATCACTGTTACAAATTATTGACATCTTCTACCGGGTAAGTAGATAGCTATTCTAACTACTTTGCCTGCACGATATTGAATCTTTGGAGTGACTGTACGCCCCTTATAACTACGAAACGAAGCATTTGTCACAATTTCGTTACTCTGGCTTTTCGTCTTATTTTGCCTCCAAGAAACACCCCTTAATTTTTTTCCCACTAGTGGTCGAACTCCCTGTATACAGTAAATCTTTGACGAGTGTTCAAAAGCTCCTCGGCGCTGAACAAACTAAACTAAAACAAACATCTTTGGCTTCGGAGTTCCAAACTTTATCACTGTGCTAAACCTCATTAAACCGTCAGTGTTACACCTGGGGACCTCTCATTGAACGTTCCGAGGAGCCTTCGAATATTTATCGAGGATTTACTTTATCGACTGTCTCGCCATGCTAAATTCTGTCGTCGTTGCCTCGGCCCCAGCACCTGCGCAAGAGCTACATCGTGCTGGTAGAGGCGGCGTACGCAACGTGATAGAAGAGCGATATTTGTATGCGCGAAAGTATACAGATACGTGTGAAGGGGAAGAGTCCACTATACCAGAAAATAATTAAACATGCTATATAATCATTAACCTGCATGTGAGCTGTTAGTACATACATACCTCTACTAAAAGATTAAAAATTAACTAGTAAATAAAAACTGGTATTACCTGACTCACGATCGGAGCATTGATCATTTTTGGTTCCTGAAGGTACTGGTTCCCATGTTCGTCGCGTCCCCAACCAACCACGATTCCCTTACTTCCCACAACAAGATTCAGATCTGGAGGGCGTGACCAAAGGCAAATTGGTTTAATTCGATCGTTGTATTCCACTCTGTCTAGCGTAAATAAAATAGCTATATCCGAGTCCGCCTTTGCTTGTGTGGGATTGTAGTCGGGGTGAACCTTGTAATCGACCACAACCTGATTCACCGAACCCTTCTCGTGAAAATCGAAAAGTTGATAGCGGCCCAAAGATACCAACAGTGAAAATGGTGTGATCGCCAAATTATTCTGATACACGCAGTGTGCCGCTGAAAAGAATACACCAAATGCAAAGTCACGTTAGCCCTCATCCACAATTCAATAAAATATTGCATTATTATTCTAAATTAATTTCATTATACCGTTATTATCTCAAATTGAGTCTTAGAATTAATTTGAGCTTAAATTACAATCGAATTAAGGAAATTTGCCCATGATTGAACTAAAATATGTATACACTATTGGTGTCCAATTAATTTAGAAATTTCTATAGTCATAAATATAATTAGGAATCAAAAATTGCCAGTTCACGATCGTTAAAGACGGTGTTATAAAAAATGACATGGTCTTCAATCTTAACCTTTTCGTTTCGACGGCGGTTATAGTATTTGTCAGGGCGTGAATAATGTGAAACCGAGCTTTGGGTCCAATGCAGGGAACTGTACACGATGTGTAGTCAACAACCATACCTAATATACCTGAAGTAACTATATACCTGAACTCATATACCTGAATAATGCGTTAATTGAAAAATTTGTTCTATAAAGAAGTTGCGAGGTTTTGATAGGGGGCATTCCATAACGTGTGTACTTTCTCTGAAGTTTGCTTTCTTTAAATGGAATGTCGCATTTGTTTAACTCTATTTTGGCGGAACGGACTCTAATGCTGAATTGACTCTGATGTAAAAATTGTATAAGTCAAGGCAGTGGCCCATTCTCCCTTCCGTTTCGTATTGTGCCCATAGACGTATTATAGGTCTATGGGTGCCCTAGTGAAAGCAAAACATGATTTTGTAGTTTACTTGACTCCATCCTGAATAGAAATGTCTGTTCTACCGCAATTTATGGTTAAATTTTCTCCTAGACCCTTAGTTTAGGAAATACGTTAAAAAGTATCAGCAAAAATTGATGCGTTTGGATGTCAGTTCCAATTTTATTATTATTTAAACATCTTTAGATGTCTATAATATAATAACAATTTACACCATGTTGTTCGGGAAAATTCAGAGAATTATTGCCTATGAAAAACAATTGAACCACTATTATTGTAAAAGCATAAAACGTCTCCAAACTTGAATACTCGCACTTTTTAAACTTGCTTTTTTTTTAAACTGTACCTTCTGGGAAAAACCGGTTTGCAAATTCGTATTCGGCTCGTAAAGATCTATAAGAGAAAATCTTGAAAGTTGCAAAATTTTTTTCCCGTGGAACGGTGTAATTTGCTGCTAGAGAACAAGAAATAGAGAATTTATTAAATAAGCTCCCTAATGACCGGCACTATTCGTGCGGCGAGATATACATACATATACAGTAGCCTCACGTTAAAGTAGTGGTAGGAACGCTCCAGCTCAGATGCATCACACACACGTGCGCGCATCCCACTATCGGTCGCCTTCTCTAACCAAAGTTCTGATCGAATTGGAGGATCGACCGAACTACCACGAGATCCAGCATGTCCATTGGCTCGGGTTAAAGTAGCGTTTTCAGGAAGAATCCGTCTCGAAAGTCCCGGCAGCGCTACTTTAACGTGAGTCTACTATATGTAGACCTCACTCTACTCTCAAACGTTTCAGGGACATTCATTTCACAATGCAACTGGTGGAGTTAGAATTTAACTTTCTATTTTAAACTTTTTTCCAAGTAGTCGAAGTAAGATGTCAAAAATACTTTGACCCCGCACCTTCCTCTTCGCGAACAAATACAAGTTCGCTACATCTTATTTGCCAACTCTATGTTTTATGAGTCTTTTTGTGCACTAAGAGGCTGTGGCATAATGAATATCGTTTGTGAACACGTTTCATTTCGTCCGACTAGGAATCGTTAAACGTGGGATCAAGAAGCTTGTGATTTGTTGGTAAGAATTTGTGGATTCAACTAAATTTATCTTCGATTATAAATTTTCTGTTGAAACTATTGTCTTCGTAACGTTCAAAACCTACGTCTACTATGCAATAACCTAATATTAAAAGGTACAGGTACAAAAAAAGATTACTAGAACTTTGCATTCGTATTCTCCTGATGATGCAATTGCAATACCGGAAATATTTATTGCATTACACGAATATTTAACAAGTTATCAGTTCTACCTCCCTTATTATTAATATTAGGAATGTTATTGATAACAACCATTTATCGGAAAAGTGTACAGTTCACTATCTTGGCCAAAATCAGTTGGATACAAATCATTTCGTCAATCACATTTCTATAAGAATTGTGCGTATACGTACATTTAAGAGCGACGCAATAAGTATATCCAGTATTGTATGAGTTAATCTCCCATTACTCTCTATTACTCTACGAGATATTCTTTCGTACCTGTGATGATATGTTTGTCCGTAATGAGCGATCCGGCACAAATGAACGTGTAATTGCTGTATTTGAAATTTTGTCTGAAAATGGCAACCAGCCAGGGCCATTCGCCGGGAACCGTTTCCGTACCCCTTATTATCAGATAATTAATTCCGATATGTTTGCTGTGACCACACTGTGAAGTAGTTTCATAATCGATCACAGGTGGATTTGGTGTAGAAGGTAGATTAGGTTGAGTAGGTGGACTGGGGCGAACAGGTGGAGTCGTTTGAGTAGGTTGAATAGGTAGGTTAGTTTGAGTAGGACGGGTAAATTGAACAGTTGTAGGAGGTTTGTTAGAAACAGTAGATTGAACAGGCGGATCCTCTGGCAATGACGCGTCAATTGCATTCAATGAGCTCGGAATCATATTCTGATCATCCACAGAAAGGGCTATTATGCCCGGTGGGTACAGCGTGTGTTTCAGCACGATAGAGGTTACACTCGTCTGTTCAGTTGCTAAAATCAGATAAATTATTATTCAAGTTTAATCATTTATGACGTAAGGTAGATAGTCTTCTTATTCTAAGAAGTCATTCTACGCTAAATCGATTATTTTTGTGGTCGTTCTGTGACATTTCTATGAAATTAAAGTACATATCGTGTGTGGAGAGTTTCCGCATTCTTGATTCATTCTTTTGTTAAGTATCGTTATTTAAAAATGTTTATTCACTGTGCATGAAGGACCGGATCCCTGTCATAACAAGGTTACTGGTTGATATTTGCGATTTTTTCTTGTTCAGGAAAATCGTTTTCTTTTAAATAGATGTTTAGACATGGGAGAAACTAGAAGTGAAACAGGAAAAAATGAAGAGAATATGCGTGATATAGAATATCAATGGGATATTAGCGCATTGGTCTCTGTTATACGTTGATCCAAGACCTCCAAAATGCGACGAAATTTATTTTAGTGTACCTGCAACATCTATATAGTCTATGCAGAGTATCCACTTCGTTTATGATCATATTATTAATAAGTTGTTCATAACATAACATCGATGGATACGGTGCGTACATACACAATATTAGAGAAATAACTGAGTAATATACAACGTTATACAGAATACCCACTGTGTACGTGTCCATTATGCGACTCAGAACATTTTGACAAATAGCATAGTGGAACCTCGATTATCGAAACAACCATTATTGGTATGCTGTGTTAACCGAACCTTCTTCATCAGAATGTTCTATTATTGTAACAGTGTTTGCATCCTGTCACGCATATATACCTACATTCGTATGCACATTCTTTCTATGAAAATACATATAACGGTCGCAAAGTGAATTAAACTCTACAGAATTATGTGTATTAAAAACTTTGTACCATTGAGTTGTTAAAAAGATAGGAACCCATCAAATTTTACACAACGTGTCCTTTTTTTAGTTAACTTCTATTATTATGCTCAAAGTACAATATGAAGTTTCACGTGATAAAAGGTATCATTCTGTTATCCAAACACTATTGTCATCCTATTAGTTCCGATAACCGAGGTTCTATTGTATGCAAAATAGAAGAAAACAATTTTAGAACTCTCCGATGATAGATCAAATTTTCTTTTAGACCTCATTTTTGTATGTGTTTCCCCTGAACGTATGCATTTGTGTAAATATCCACAATCTACATATTTATAAACATGTACATAGTTTCACTTCTGCTTTTCGATCATACTGTGTCAAGCAGGCCATACATGGTGGGTTTACCTCAAGGTCAAGCCTCGCGATATTGTTTTACATTAGGGGAGTTAAGTCTCCCAAAGCCTCCTTGTAATCTGTAGCGAGATGGTAGGCCGTCCCGAATGCACGGGCGTGAGTGAGAACGCTGAGAAAGAGCCACAGAGGGTGAGGCGTTCAACACCATTTCATAATATTCACGTACTCTTATTGTTTGGAATAATTTTATTCACACCATTATATATTAGTTAAAAAGAACGACCCTTTATAATTATAATGAAATAAAGATCAAGTTCGTATCTTTAGTAACTGCGGAGATAAATATTCTTTTGTAAAGGTACTTTTCGTAAAAATTGGTGATCATTACAAAATTTGAGGGTCGGCATCTTTTCAACAATTTCAAGATCAACGAAATCGTGTACAAAAGTGATCTGCTTGGCGTGGCACTATATGTACACCCACATATAAATTTGTCTAAAAGATGAACTTTCCGCCATTTTAGTGCAACGGATTCACTCCGGCTACTTCATTTCTGCTGCGGTAATTCTCGACAAACGGATGGTATTGATTCCGGGTGTGACGGTGAAGACAGGTGATATAAACAAAGCAGTCCCAACGAAATCCGCCGGAGATCGGATACCCGAAGTGTCTTCGAGGCCAGATAACATCTCCCCTCGTGGACTTATGTAAACATAACGAACTCGTATCGTGGTAATAACGCGTACAAATTGAAATGAGTTCGGAAAGAAATCGTCTTTTTCAGGAAGATTTTCTTAATATTGTATAGAAATTTTTCTCGAACATATAGACCAAATCCTACATGGATCTGTATTTCTGCCAGTCATCCGATGCTTAGAGACCGTTTTCTTTTTTTACATGGTAGTTTTGCTTCTTCAATACACATATCTTCTGCTGTACCTAACAATTACAACCTTTTTTAGCATATAAATGATATTTCATTGCGTGGGAGCTGTACGTACTACTGTAGGATATTTGGTTTCAAAGAACGGTACTTTCATGGATAATTTTAAACTAAACTGAAATACTTCAGTGAAAATGAATACTAGAGACATACAGGATGTAACAAAAATGTTGGAGGACCCGGAACTAGGAGACTCGTGAGGTGATTTGAAACAAGTTTTTCCTTAGCAAAAATGTTATCCGAGGCTTTGTTAATGAAATATTAACGAAAAACCCCGACCAATCAGACCGCGAGTCTGCCGGCCGAGTTCCCGCGTTAAAGTTGGTTACCAATCATTACCGCGGAAACTCGACCAGCAGACTCGCGGTCTGATTGGTCGGGGTTTTTCGTTAATATTTCATTAACAAAGCCTCGGATAACATTTTTGCTAAGGAAAAACTTGTTTCAAATCACCTCACGAGTCTCCCATTTCCGGGTCCTCCAACATTTTTGTTACATCCCGTATACATTTTGCTGTCGCTCGTTCTCGTCGCACTCCGCACGTCTCGCCCTCTGCGACTCTTTTACAGCCTTCTCACTCACGCACATCATCCGAAGGTCCCTTCGAGAACCTTCGCTCGTGCGTTCGGTACTGCTCCTACCATCCCGTACAGATTACAAGGAGGCTTCGAGAACTGGGTCTCTCGAAGCCTCGCTCGAGGTAAATTCACTGTGTATGCCCTGCTTAATGCTGAAACATTAATTCTTAAAGAATGCAAAAATATTTACATGTTTATGCAGTTTTGAAACAATTTTTCGTCACGATGACGTAGAATGAGCCGTTTGTTATTTAAAGAAAAGTATACATACCGCCTGGATCAGTGCAGATTAATCTGTTGTTCAACCAAATCTTGGTGACCGTCGGTAACGGATGCTGAACAGGAAAATTAATATTGTACCTCAGGGGTGTACCTTGTTCGACCGCAGTAACAGATTGTTTTCTGGATTGCGCCAACTCTAATTTGCCGTTATATTTCTGAAATTCACCAGCACAAACAGATTATGTAAGTTGTAGAGGTGGTTCCGTGGTGAAACATACGAACTTCTCAGAAAGGTCATAGGCAGTATGGGTATATCTCAATTTATTTAAACATGATAATAAGAATAATTTTTCTGTTTTTGTATTGTCTTGTTTTATTACTTTAATACTTTTCTGTTATATTCTTTGAACAAATCGTAATAGCTCATAAAAAGGAAATGGGCCATGGATGCAGTTTGCATTAGTATGAAGAATTTTGCATTAATCATTCGTACGATTATCTGAATAAATAACATAAATGTACAACAATTAAATAAAGCAAACATAATCTGTATTTCTTGTTTATATGATACTGAAAGAGAAGATTCTACAGCACCAATATAAAGTTTGAGAATCAGTTCCAAAAGAAACACCTCCTTATAATTTGAGATAGTGAAGTTTTTGTGTACATTTTACTTATAATATATATTTTACAGCGAATTCTCCATCACAAATAATAAAAACAACTACTCCATTTTTGTTCAATCACAATATGTATTATCTTTCGGTTGTAAGTGCCCGTGTTGTATTTTTATATAATTATTTCCCATTTATTGTAAAATAAAGATTACACTAGTCAGTTTAATAATAATAATAATAGACAAGTGATTTACATTATCAATTGAACCATCATTGTATCCGTCTGCGCCTACTAAACATTAATTTAATTAGATTCCGATAAATGAAAGTTACATATTTGAAGTATATTTATGCTGTATAAAGTGTATATTATATTTCTGAATAAATAGTGTTTATTAACTTGACAGCCAAATCAAAATATCAAAATATTTATACTTCGTGTACCAAGTAAACGACGCGTCTATTCGTGTTACTCTGACGGGCGCGCCCGCCGACGAATTAATATGTCGAGTGTCGCCCTATTGAGCCACGCGCGGTTCATATGGTATACGCCTGAGGTGGATTGAGCTTCTTGGCCATCGCGGGGGCCGAGACGCGCGGCGGGAGAAACGGGGCGTTGCCTTCAAAAATCGGACGGAACGATTGGTTAATTCCGATGCCTATTTAAACAATTTCGAAATCAGCGAAATAACGACATAACCGCCTATTTTCACATGGACTATGACATCGCAATTTGAGCAAAATCCTAAACATCGTGTACAGAAGTCCCCTTGACATGGAATGACCTATACTTTCATCTTATTCTTCATTACTATCACGATCATGGGAAATTATTAGGAAATAAACCATTGAAGTTATTATTATTATTATCAAAACAAATTATTATTCGACAATTGATACCGTTGTACAGGGTGTAACAAAAATGTCCTCCAACCCGGAAATGAGGCATTTGGAGAGTGAATTGGAACAACTTTTTCCTTAGCAACAATGTAATCTGAGGCTTCGTTACCGAGATATTAACGAAAAACCCCGACCAATCAGAGCGCGAGTTTGCCAGCCGAGTTCCCGCGCTAGCGGTGGCTACGCGCTGCATACGCAATTTCCTGCGATGCATGCTGACCTACTTGTTCGGAGCTTCGTGGTACAAACACAGCGCGTAGTCACCGCTGGTGCGAGAACGCGGCTGGCAAACTCGCGCTCTGATTGGTCGGGGTTTTTCGTTAATATCTTGGTAACAAAGTCTCGGATAATATTTTTGCTGAGGAAGACCTTGTTTCAAATCATCTCACGAGTCTCCCATTTCCGGGTCCTCTAACATTTTTGTTACACCCTGTATGTTAACAGCGCGTGTAAGAAGCTACATGTTATACCAAATACAATAAAGTACAATATCAAGAAATTGTATGTAAATCGACAATTGCTAAAGTAATTCTTACACATTTTTTTTGTTTTCTTACCGTTTGTAATGAAACAGCAATGCCCAATGTGACCCTCAACTCCAACGGAATTCTTTTCGGCGGCGATGGTATTTCGATGTGACCATTAAATTCACCCGCCTGTTTGTCTGCGATGTATCGAAAGTAGTTAGGAATACAGGGGTCGGCAGCTTCGATGGAAAACTGAATGAAACACACCAGCACCGCAGCCTTGACAATGACACTGAGCATCCTGATTTTCTGCGGTACAAATTAATGATTTTTTATTCAAGTCAGAACCAAAATGTCATCCAACGATTAATGAAAAAATTCAATGAACGGTTTTTAAGTAAATTATGCGAATCCAGAACAAAGATTTTGTTGGAAAAGTGGTGTAACACAGGCCTGGCCAATATGTTGTTGGTAAGGACCAGATGGTCCTTACCATTACTCAGCCCACTCCCCTACTACTCATTGTCAGTTGTGCTGCTTGGTGATCAGAGATCGGCAGGCGAGACGTTACGGTCGGAGCATGCGCATCCACCTTCTAGTCTCTATGTTGTCACATGCGCCGATCGTAATCATGCGCGGCAGGTATATAGGGGGAACATTCCCCTACGACAGAAAAAAGCAGGCCGTTAGAGGAGGGGGACAGAGTGGCTCATGAGTAGTGATGGGACACCAAGCCCGATTCAAGTCGGTCAAGTCAGATGACGACACCGGACCTCGGCTCGCGACGACGGTATCAAATTCATATAAGTCTTCCGCGACCGACGCTCGGGTTACAATGTAACACAGAACGCATCACCCATGAATAAAAATTTGAATTTTTACTCCTTCCAATGTACTTCCTTAAAAATGTTATGAATAAATGTAGGAGATTTTCCTGATGACAAGAAGTCCAAACCCGACATAAATCGGACTATATTTAATAACAATATAATTCGTATCGCAACACAACGTACGAATAAAAATTGTTTTCAATGCATTTCCCTATTCAGAGACACGCAAAAATTTTGAAAATCATTCCACACAGAATTTTCTCCAATATTTCGGTTGAAAATGCTAGGTGGAAAAAATTAAGACCCCTAAAAAATGATAACAAATGCGAATTTCTTAATAAGATTAATTATAATTAAACATGCTAAAGCACATACAGTAACATTATGGACCAATATATTGTAAAAGACATAACATATGCAGTTATGCAGTGCGTTAATAAATTGATCATTAAGACATAAACATAATACAATTATTTTAATTCAAGCATAAGCAAAGATAAATAAGTAATTAATACTAAATACAGTATAGAAGCAAGTGTACAGTAAAATGCATAAAATAATATAGTGCTATCCAACATTAAGATATAAACTTAATGCAATCATTTTAATCGGGGAATACAGCATGACCAATTCCATACACATTTGATAGGAATGTATTGGAAATCGATAAGCCGCTTATTCATCTACTAGCTTTTTTCTCGCGGTTTCGCTCGCGTGGATTTCGAGATTTGGTAAAATTTTTGTTAAACAAAATTATAATTAAAGCAGTAAGTAAGACTTCTTCTTTTATGTATACAGATTGAACATTATTCAAAACATTATTAATGAATAATTCCAAATACTTTACTTAACTGTGGTTATAATACAAAATTGCATTACATAATTACATAAATAAATAATTACGTATACAATCAAATGTAAGATACTTGCAATCACAGTTCACAAGATATCGCCAGCAGCAAAGTACCTAAATTTTGTTTCAAGGAATAAATGGAACATCCAATATTATATCAGCATAGCAAACTAATGCACGAATGACATCAAGTTCAATACTTAAAAGTAGTTTTTCATTATCGAATGCTTGCAAGTTGGAATATTGCAACAATACTAAGAATCTTTATGCCAATGATGAGATATAAATAAAATAAACAATTATTCTTACTTCAACGAAAAGGCAAAACTGTGACCAATTATCCCCTTTCCCTTTATGTCGCGATACGAATTGTATGTTATTAAATATAGTCCGTTTTATGTCGGGTTTGGATTTATTTTCATCAGGAGAATCTCCTACATCTATTCATAACATTTTTAAGGAAGTACGCTGAAAGGAGTGAGAGTTTAAATGTTTACTCATACGTTATGTTGCGATACGAATTGTATTGTTATTAAATATAGCCTGATTTATGTCGGGTTTGGACTTACTTTCATCATGAGAATTTTTTACATTTATTCATAACATTTTTAAGAAAGTACACTGAAAGGAGTAAAAGTTTAAATTTTTATTCATGGATAATTCGTTCTGTGTGTTACATTGTAACCCGAGCGTCGGTCGCGGAAAGCTTATAGGGATTAGATACCGTCGTTGCAAACCGAGGTTCGGTGACGTTATCTGACTTGATCGACTTGAATCCGGTTTGGTCTCCCATTACTACTTGTGAGCCGCCTAGTGGCCATCCCTGATGTAACGTTAAATGATACATACACAAATTAGACCGGTACATACGACCTATCGGTAACAGAAAATGGCATGCAGTTTCCTTTTCTCATTTCTGTGAATACCCGGATGATTTCACAACGCGATAAGAATAATTAATGATGAAGCATGATGAACTATTGACAAACACTTGATATATCTCACCTAAGCTTTTACAGCTTCTAGAATAGTCTGAAATCTGACCATTAAGTCAAAGACGGAAACCACACTTCCAAACGGAATTATCGAGCTTGACAGTTCATATGAATCAGTGTGTTCAATTCAAAAATATTCATAGTCGCGTTTTATCAAAGTTAAATGATTTTCAATGATAGGAAACTTCTTGGACACATGTTATCCGGACCGGCTTCATCGTTGTTCTTCCTTTCCTTATGTGAAATTGATATGTCCCGTTTCATTTGTCGAACACTACCATATGTATGTATCTTTCACTTTCCATTCTTACCTGTATTAATCAACTCAAATCGCATTAATTCGATTTTCACAATGGTTAAGACACTCGAGAAAAATTTACTACACCGATCGGGCAGTACAATATACCACGAAATTTCACATCAATCCGTGTAATAATTTTTGCACACACAAATTACAATTAATCCGGTGTTCACTGAATTATCTCGATGTAAATATCACACAGTACGTATTCAAATAGAGAAGCGAAATATGCTTTGAGGTTAAGGATTTTATCGAAGAATGCTAGGTCTTTCAGTCGTTACTTATGCCTTATTTCTCAAAGCCATACTTATATGTATGACAGGGAAATCAAGTAAGCGATGATTCCAAGTTCGGAAATAAATAATCCTTTATATCCGTTTCGCATCACACTTAATTTTGTTACTTTAGACCAAAACATCCAGCCTGGCGGTAGTTCTACTACGTACAATCTCATTCGTCGACTGGTTTGTTGAAGAAGCTACTTGTGAGTCTCGAGAACGACTCCGAGGCGTCCTTGCTTCTATGGGATGCAAGTTTCGCGGTAGAGGGGTACCGGCTGATTCCAGAACTCATTTGTATGAAAGAATCTGCCGTCGGCGTGCAGAAAACTGGCAAGATAAAAAAAAGAAGTTGTCTGACGCCATTCTTGTACGATGACTCTACATTTTTGTAAGAAAAAACCACCGCATCTTGTATGCAGAATGCCAAAACGACGACTACGTAAGTAGTCTAGCGTCTTCTTTGCGTTCGGTATCCTGTGGCTACTGTTCACAAACCCGATTGCTAAGGGTCTTTTCACAATTGCAGGTCACAGCGATTGCGTGAGGCAGGCGTATTGCGACCTGACGAGTGCGTACAGAGGAACCACATAAATTAATGGGTTATTTTAGTTCAGACTTTTCAAAAAATCAATATTTCTGAAATAATAGTGAATTTTTTAAAAGTATAGTTTCTTGAAAGTATTCAATGTTCTTTACACTACGCATGATATTAATTAAGTCGTACAGTACATACATACCGTACTCGACGAAATGGGATTATTGGTGTCGCAGAATAAGCATTTTTATTATTTTCCTGTGTTCTAATGCTTTCTTCAAGCGCTCATGGTCCCTTTAAGTGGTGTGATTCATAGTTTTATAATCGTTTCAAATGCCCACGCGTTGCCAATGGCAGTTGTTTTTGTAATAAGTCTAATTAGACGCCAGAATACCATTGTATCCTTTCCTTAGTTTTTCCTTTTCAGCGGATGTGTGGTCTGGTGATTTCCATCGCACCATGATCCTTTCCTTTTGGAAACGTTACTTAAACAAAACGTTATTTAACGTTATTTAATAAAAACGTTTATTACTTTCACAAATAAAAGCTGAACTGATTAAAACTGGTTATGAAAGCTCATTAATAACATAAACGTAAGAAGTTTTCAATTGGTTACCAACAGTTAATTTCCAAAAATAATTTTTATTTCAATTTGCTATTAAACATATATATTTTGTATTTTATGTTTATGCACTAATACTTTTGCCGAACCAAAGAATATTGTTTATACAGTTATAATAATTCGTTATGCAAATAATAATACAAAAATTGATTTTACAGCATTACGTTCATGTATTTTATCCAAGATCTGAAGAACTATGTAATACTGAATACACATTTGCGAACACTACTTCCATCCTTGTGTGGTTTGCGACCAATATCGTTTTTATTTATTTAACATTTCTACAAGTCTGTAGACTTTTTCAACTTACGAATAGAAATATACATTATCTGCTACGTACCTTACAATTAGTTGAATCAGTTTATTGAATTCTTTAATTATGTTATTTTTATTTATCAAATAATATTACCTTCTTTATCTGATTTGGACTCTAGTTTGATAAACAGAAATATTAAACAATATGGAAGAGTAATCACTTCGTGCCCTTCGTAGACATTTAATTTTCTTCTGATTGTATAATCGTATATCTAGAATTTACACTGGTCCCATGGAAGTAATTCGAAACATGACAAATAGTAACTACAATAGGAACTCGTTTATTGTAGCGTTCGGGGCTGTAGACGTTTTTTTCAGGAATACTGCATTATCGAGTTCTAGTCACTCGCGCGCTCTCCCCGTCAATCGTCAGTTTACTTATCCGATGTAGTTGGATATAGGGTGGCCTGGATGTACGCACTTTTTGATCACCTTATTAACTCCGTTATTTTTAGAGATGGAAAGGTTAAAAAAAAGTTTAGTCACAAAAGTTATTGATTATTGAAACATTTTGTTAAAACAATATTATATACGCCACACTTTCTGTGATGAAAAATATGCTAGTTACACGCGATACTGTACTCATTCCGTTCCTTCCTTGCTGGGCGACAGAGTGGGGTGCGCGCACATCTATGAAAAATACATATGAGCGAGGGGCGTTTCTATGCTGCGATAAACGAGCTTCTACTGTAATGTACGCTGAGCCAGGCCTGGCCAACATGTTGTTAATAAGGACGAGGTGATGCTTATATACAATCACTTAGTCCGTTCCTTCTAACCTCTGTGCTGTCCTGATCGTGATCATTTGCGGCAGGTATAGAGGGGGAACATTCCCCTACGACAGAACAGAGCAGCCCGGAAGGGGAGGGGGCAGACTGGATTGCGAGCCGCTTGTGGACGTAAACATATATGTATAGATGGAGCATAAGCTACCACTTTGGCTAAGGGAACCGTAAGATCAGAGGGGAAAAAGCAACGGTCCTTAGAGGTGTGTCGCTTAACTTCGGATGCATTTGGCTTGATTCGGCTCGTTATTAATGAATGTTTTTTCATATCATATAATGGAATTTTTACTGACACAAAGATTTTCTTACAGTGTTTCTTTACTAATCATAAACATAATTTATTACGCATTATCATGGAATGATATACTGAGATAAAATTAACGCATGAAGTACAAAATGTTAATATAAGTGATAGAAATAAATTTATTAAATTAGTACTATTTAAAGGCCATATATATATGTATATAACTAACACAAATCGTCGAAATGTATTTCTTAAAGTTTCAGTACAGTCTTAAGTAAAAAAGTTAGAAAAAGCAACCTTTACTATTTTCTTTGCGATTTTTACGTTAATAGTTTTTTTGTAACATATTTATAGATGCAGTAAGTATAAATTAGATATGATAGAATAGATTATGTAACATTATTATAAACTGACGTGAGACACCCTGCATATTATTATAATGATTATACGATAAATACATATTATTATTATGTTATCATAATTATTTTAAACATATTGTTTTTGAATAAAATAATACTTTTCTTTCTTACCTTAACTAAATCTCTTAAAGCGTGAATAAGTGCCTCACACACTTCAGGCACTATGTTGGAAATCGATTGCTTAGATATTTTAAACGTGTACATTAAGCTTGTAAAGGTATCACCCGTAACTAAATATCTTAGCGTTACGGCCAATCTGACAGAAGCAAGAATTGCTTCCCGAAATTGTGTATTCCTCCTCTCAATTTTTGGTCCAACTTTTTTCAGTAGGATTTCAAAATCACTTTTCGACATGCGCACAAAGTTTTTAAACCCGAAGCTATCTTTGATGCTTAATTGTCTTAAAAGGTTTACCCCATATTGATACTCTTTAGTGAAAAACTTTCGTATCCACAATCGTTTTTTATATTGTCTCAATTCACGGCCGTTACTAATGTTGACCGATGACCCTGCGGACTTAGATGCGTTCACGTCGAGTAGTTTTCGCATCGGGGAACCTCTCGTCGCACCGGATCCTTTGTGTTAGATTTTATGGTTAATTTCGAAAAAGCTCTTAATATTTCCTCCGGTGTCTCAAAACAATGCATCCGTGCTTGGTTCCTTATTTCAATGTCCGACACGCCGTCAATAATTAAATCTACCAGCTCCTCCTGATGAATGGCTATTCTCTCAGCGAGATGTACCTTATCATTCAAAATAATCTGCAAAAGATTCTTCCTTGCGCCAAGTTCGTTGCTCGAATTCTCGTCTAAGGGCCAATCTATTTGGTCTGTGATCGAAACTTCGCCGTAATTGTTCCAATATTTCCTCCACCGAGTGAGTAAAGTTATTCGGATTCGCGTGGAACCAATCCAGTGCTCTACCGTGTAAACGTTTATGCACCAATAATTTCATCGTACCTTCGTTCAAATGATACGTAGACTTAAGTAAATCGGCTCGCTGTTTCCAGTTTATGAAGCTGTCACTTTCTCCCGAGTAAGTATTTATCATCTCAGCTATTGCTTTAGCGTCCATAGTTGGTGTAACAATGATTTCTGAAACTTGTGAATTGGGTTCAATCGTCGTTTGTCTTTCCAATGGAACTAATCGCAATTCTCTCTCTAACACATCCCTCTCCCTTTTGAGGAGTTCAAATTCATATCTACTGTATTTTACAGATTAGTCCGGAATAGACGCAAAAGAATAGGGTCGTTCTTCCTCAGGTGCGCTTGCCGTGTCGGTTTCTTGTGTCATTGCCTCGCTGGTTTCTCGTTCATCCAACTCAGACACCAAAACCGAAACCTGGTTCTCAATGTCTGGATACGCCACAATTAGTCTTGCCAGTAGATCGGTTTTCAATCCTGTTATACTCAAATTCCTAGCACGAAGAATTACTTTCAACTTCGCGACCGAGAAGTTGGAAAGTACTTCCCTTAAGGGGTCATGCTCAGTTAGAAATGTTCAAAAAATCGATTTTTCACTTTCTACACTTTCTTTAAGTACAACATCTCAAGAATATTCTGTGAAAGTTTCAAGGTAATCCAATTAAAAATAACAGAGTTACAGGCGTTAAAAAATGATCATTTTATATAAGTGTAAGCTTGACTTGAAACTTTAAACGCGTTTTTCTCGAAACTACATTTTTCAAATCGGTGATCAATATTTCTCGAAAACTACTGGGTCGATTTACATGAAGCCTTTTCCGCCTTATTTCAAATCAGAAGAACTTGTCCTTGAATGAAGGATTCTTTTGTACGTTCTATACTTTTTTTTTATTTGACCAAAAACGAGTGATTTTTTAGGTGAAAATCGCAGTTTTTCAGGAAAACGTCCGCTATTTTGTTCTTAATCAATATTGCGAAAAACCCCACGTTCAAGGACAAGATTGGTTCTTCCATTACATAAATCTTACTGAATTTTTAATTTCAGATGAACCGTTACGAAGTTACAGTGATCACGGCAGACCACTTTTGGTGGAGAGACATCCGGGAGATCGCTCACCATTTATTTACTAATAAATATTTTTGAATAAAAAAATTACCTTATAATCTAGAAACTGTAATCTTCGAAACAGAAACACATTTTTTGAAAAAGGTCTTACAGTTTTCGAGAAAGAAATTCCTAAAGAACACTCTTTTTTCGGCCTCCTGACTGAGCATGACCCCTTAATCCTTTTGGCATGATGAATCAAATTGACAGTTAATTAACCGTCTGATAAAACTTTAAATCCTGTTGGTCTTAACGAGTCCACACCACACAAACAGTTTGTATCACGTAGTTCAAATTCAAAATTGTGCTTCACTGTGGACACAAGTCAATTTCACCAAAATATTGTAACTGTCGCGGAAAACATAATAACTGCGCGAACTGTACACGCAAAAAAAAATCGTAGCGAATCCCACTTCTGAATTCTGTAGGATGGCGAGCGTTCGAAATACGGATAAGGTTTGGACAGATAATGAACGGATACGAATTTAACAGATAACGAGTGTTTATTTCCAACAGAACTGCTCTCTACAAGTTACTGGTTTTGACTGCCTCGCACAGTCCCTTCAACCAGGAAAATATCTTTTAGGAAAGACAGTGGGGGCTGCACTCCTCAGTGGACGTGCCTTCAATGCGTTCGGTCGATTCGTTACGCACAGCCTATCCATGAAAATATACAAACTGTCCATGGCCCAGACGTCTCGCTAAGAGGCTGTGCGTAGAGAACTCCCAAGACGAAGTTCTAATATTTAAAAATGCTTACATTAATTATTTTGTAATTTCACTTTGTAACCTCCCAGTAAAATAAGTCATAGAAAACATATACAAATAAAATAATTACTCCTCAACACTAAAGAAGAACTTTGTATTCATTTTCCTTCGACACAAGTAGGTTTCGATATATGCGATGCTAACAATAAGTACATATCGATACTTTTTTTCGATACATGTTATGAGTAAAAGTATCGATATCTTGACGGTATCGGTTTATCCCTACATACGTGTATTACACACATACTAAAATAGAAAAACGAAGTAAACATTCTACATATTGAAAGCTTTATATAGGTAAACAATTATCATGAAATGCGAAAAGTAAACAAACATTGAGCAATTTGCGGAAGCTATGACCTTACGGTGTAAGACTCGTACATGAAAATATTATAGTTGTGCGATGTGGAACACGTCAAAACAATACAGTTCAACTGTATCGTACAAAATACGCAAAAAATTTGTTATATGATCTGATAGAATAAAGCGTAGAATACCATACGAGCTTCATTGGAGTACGTTTTGATTGTTTTTATTTATTAGTACTAATTAATAATGTCAGTTCGTAATTTTTTCTTCATCTGGCACTAAAATTATTTCAGTTCCTTAATTCGGATGAATAAGTTGAAAGAAACATAATACATATTTCGTTTTCTTTTATTCTTATCATTAAATTTTTTTACTCATACAGAACCTTGATATACATTATTTGTACTATTTCATTTTCGGGCTACGATTACAGTCTGTTTATGTCGGATTGTCGATGAGACTTAAATTAATTAGAAGATTGCTCAAAGGGTGAAAACCTTTGGACTACATCGGATGGGACGCCAACTATTGCATTTTTAGGTATAACTGTCAGCTCGTAAATCTGAAAAGAATAATCATTCACTTACGTATCCGTCCGTATAGATATTGCGAGAATTCGTGACAGAAATGATGGGATAACGATCTCGTTTACAAACGAATACAGTTGCTGATTCTTACCTCAGCACGTTCTGGTATTTCTAACGCATAGATCACTAACTCAGCAATATCTTCCGAATATAACATTGCCGAATTATGGACCACATCATTACACTTTTCGAATATGCCTTTAATCATATCTGTAAGTACTGCACCAGGACTGATATTCTGTAAAAACATAAGTGGACATCAACTTTCTGTATCGACTTTAGTAATGACCACTCAATCATGAGAAGTGATACTTTCTTTAATAGTATCATAGTTAATCGAGAGTCTAAGAGCAATACAATATATGCACGTTTCAAACAGTTCCTAGAAGTCCTATCATCGTTACACAGAGTATTAATAAAAAAGTAGAAAATTGTCACAGGATAGATTCTAGACGTCAACGTGATAGGAAAAGTTCATATGCACATGTACATACAGAGTGTCGCAAAAAGATGGGACAATTCGCAACATGAATATTCCTCATGCAAATATAAATCGGAAAGTTCTTTACCATGTTGTACTCTGAAGCTCCGTTTCCGAGATATTAGCAGTTAAACGAACTCACACGTACGCGCCGACGCGATACAGTGAAGAAGCACACGACCCAAGTCACTGGCTACTGCTTCTTGACTGTGTCGTCGCGTACGTGTGGCCCACCGCTCAGCTAATCGTTAACTGCTAAGTCGAGTTCGTTTAACTACTAACATTTCGGAAATCGAGTTTCAAATTACAAAACGTTATAGGATTTTTTTATTTGTATTTGCATGAGGAATATCCATGTTGTGGGTTATCCTATCTTTTTGGGACACCCTGTATACATTCAATGTCGATTCGCCTTTTTTGGTTTCACGTAATTTTTCATTTCCTAAAATGCTTGGCCGAAATATCTGTGGGAAGATATTTCTTATTAAACAAAACTACAATGTAAATGAGTGCTTTTAAGAAATTTACATATCCCATTTCTTAATAACAAAAAAGTAAGTAACGTATACGAGCCAAAGAGCTGATTTAACATTAGAATTACCAAAGCTGTTAAAATGTGTGGTTAGGACACTCTTATAATGACGATTAAAAATTTACCGGATGCGTTTTCTTAGGTCTTTCATAAAATTTATTTCAGCATGAAAATGAAGAAATTAGTTTGTTCATAAATTTGATTACCTTCTACGGGTTGTCATAATTATCCAGCCAATAGAAATATGTGTATACCTTCATGATCGGTAGTTCTATTATATTTACATTTAAAGTTAAGGAGTTACACGACCCAGTGGACCTAACAAAGGGTAAGTAAATCAAACATTTTTTCCCCAAGTAATTAATGAGTATAATATTGGGATCTTTTTAAGGGATGTTAGGCAATATTTTAACTTTATTTTCAAAGATTAGCTACTATTTAAAAAAAAATCGCGGTGTTATACAGTACTGTCTATCGTCATGTCTGACAGTACTTTATCAACGAGCAATTAGCACTGACCTCCAAAACTGTTTCTCTGATGAACTCCAAATTTGGAAACATTATTCTTTACAAAGTTATCTACAATGCGTAAATCGTGTAGTAAATGGATTAGCATGTATGTGACAGTTGTCGCGAATCTGTGTCTTTACATGCACAGACAACACTAATTTTCTTTTTTTCAAAACGGGTAGAACTTCAGTGATTAAGGCAGAAAAACTAGAAAATTGGTGTAAAAATAATTCTTACCGTGACTCTTATATTGAGTTTTGCCAAGATTATTTCATGTCGAAGTTCCGCAGCTAAAGCCGACAGGCCATATTTACTAGGACCGTACATACCGAATGGCATTTGGATGGCTTCTGCATAACGTCCAGCTATGCTATAAATTATAAACATACATATACCATGGACTCAATGCACGAAAAATATCGTGCTACATTACAAGATGTTATTGTACTATATTCAAATTTTGAAGAAGATATTAGTGTTTAGAGGAATCTGGAAGATTCTAGAGAAATCTTTTAGACACAATTTTAACCATTTTTATATGCTAACCAGAATCTTTTATTCATAACACGATTAACCATTTCGCTGCGGGAGATTCCAACGTATCAATAAGTTCAGACGTACGGTTTTTTGACTGATTCAGTAATTTAAAGAAAAAAAAAGTAATTTTGTATTTTCGGTGAAGATACGAAATCGTATAAACGCTGCTTTGTTATCGATTCGGCACAATTACCGATTGCGAGAAAAATCACGTAAGTATAATTTCATATTTGAAATTAAAGGAAGTTAGGGCGGTCGGCTCTGTTACGTACGAAGACACTCTCGTGACCTTTTAACCCTATCGGGAGATGGAATGCATCCGACCGGATTATGTAATTGCCCACGGGGTGTTATGGCGTGGCCAGATTTTCTTGGAAAGCAGTTTCCGTTGAGAATAGGCGTGTCCCCCACTACTTTTAGACTGGATTTTCGGGATATAAAAAGGGACGCGCACAGCTCATCGGTGGTTTATAATCATACTAGAAGTCTAGCTAGTGAGATCGGGTATTAAAGTCCCTTTCAAGCATTTTCAAAAGTAAGCTTAAACTCTGTACGACACAATCCCGCATTTCTCAGTGCGTGAAAACCGAGAACGTTAGAATTAGCTTCCGCGACTACACTTTACAGTACCATTTGTAAAACTTTTATTTTATTGTATGTACTTTTATACGTTCATATATTTACAATTCAGTGTTGTTCATTTCAACTCTAAAATAACATCTAAATTCCCAACTATAAGCGAACCCACAAAGGCACACTTTTACCGCTCGAAGTGTACCGAATTCTTAAAAGTTACGAGGCCCATACTAACAATCCTAGTGGCTCCCTGAGATGAAATAGGCTGGGGTTCGTCCACGAAAATCTTTCCTAGTGTCTCCCTGTGATGAAATAGGCACAGGTTCGTCCACATAACAAACTCTAACAAATCAAACTCGCCATTTCCTCGGCTCTCGCAGCCACGTTATACACGTGGCCCTCACGAGGGGAGTGGACATATCGTGCTTTGTGGTGATAGGCCCACAGGAACTGTGGGATAAATCGCGCGAATCGGTCGGTACGGCAGATGCCGTTGTTACCGATGGTCGATAACATATTTTCCATTTCTGTAGGATCTTATACATACATCTTCGGAGATCTCATTGTTATCGGACAAAGAGGATCTCGAAGTTAGCAGTCTGTTTGATAATTTTCATCAGGGATTGCAAGCAGCAGACCAATCCAAGGACAAAGATGTTGAAGAAGTAGATCCTCTGGATGAGGAAATGTTAAAACTTCTCGGAGAGGAAGGAATTTACATTCAGAAATCGGTGACCGTTGGCAGATTTGGGTGCAGGATGGTCTCACTAAGGATGAGAAACAGGAGTTTCTCCGGAAATATCCTCGTAAGGGTCACTATAATTTTGAGGCGCCTGAACTTAACCCAGAAGTGGAGTCATCAATTAACGACTTGATTAAGAAGCGAGACAAATTTGTTTTCTGCGGATCAGAAAACTCTGGGTTCGGCAATGTCTGCTCTGGGTACAGGCGTTTCTATTCTAGTTCGCAATTTGTCGGAGGTCTATTTTCAAGTCAGTAAGACGAAAAAGGCTTTTATATATCCTACTGGATCGAAATGCAAAAGATCTTCTGGAAAGACCGAAAACCGACGCGTTCCTTTTTGGAAAGGAATTATCGACGAGACTGAAAACAGCGAAATCGATGGAGAAGGTCGGGCTGGCTTTGAAATCCCAACAACTTGGGAAAAAAGTGCCGCCCAAAACAACTATGTCGGAAAACTGAAAAGTCCCGCCTGGAAGGAGCCAGGGCTATTCTCAGGCGGGTTGTACGCCAAAAAGTTATCATTGATCAGACAGAGTGCGCAGAACAATGCCCCTCATCTGCCCAACACACAACAAATTTTAACACAGAAATAGTAGGGGTAAGGCATATAGCGGGCAGGCTCAAAAAATTCCGAAATGCCTGGTCAAATATTACTAATGATAAGGTGATATTGAATTGCATAAATGGTTACTCAGTGCCTTTTGAAGAGATGTCGCGACAGTTTTGTGTGCCCCCGGAACCCTCGTTATTTAACGAAGAACGAGAATATTTGAATGCGATCACTCATTTGAGGAAGTTACGAACAATTAAAGAATGCTTACCCTGCACTGATCAATTGTTTTCCAGATACTACTTATTAGCCAAATCGAACGGTACTATGAGATTAGTCCTAAATTTAAAAACGAATTTATTACTCCAGATCATTTTAAGATCGTCACTACCGCGGTGACTCCTTGCGTCGCTCGCGGGGCAAGCAGGGCGCGGTCGGCCCTCACGGAGACAGCGTCGACTGGTGACCCCTCGATACTATAGGTTGAAGGAGCCGGGACGGCAAGACAGCCATCCCAAGGGGAGGGGGCGACTGCCCCCCCCCCCGGAAATAGCGCTCGGCGCATCGAGTTAGGAACCCGGAGAGGATGCGTGGTTGAGAGTGGTGAGGACAAAGCAGAGAAGAGCTGCCAAAAAGACCGCCGCTCTGAATCACGCCACTACCGCAACGAACCAGCAAAGGACATGAATAACCTCCTCCAGCAAAGGGGGCAAAGGGTAAGGGGCGGGGTAAAGGTGGGCGTGCGCCGTCGTTCTCCACCAAAAGGGGGACCAGTGCTATCGTGGCATGGAGTACGGGCACGTGAGGACGCGTGTGCACAAACGCTACAGACAGATACGCTGTTGCAAATGCGGCTACCCGATACACCGGCTGCAGACACGACTCATTAGCTCACTAGCTTTCACAAAGCCCCGCAATTGGGGCTAAGGGTGGCATTACCCGGGGAGTTTGTTACCCCCGACTGTCCAACCATTCCAACCTTATTAGGCCCAGGCCACATAGAGGTGGGGAAGTACTCGTGCCGGGGTCGGAGACATAAGCCTAACCCAGACCCCGTATAGTATTCTTAATGTGAATTATACTTTTCATGGTAGAAAAACACGTTAGTGTATAAATCTGAAGTTTTACCAACCTGTTGATATTGAGTATATGCCCGGAACTATTACGTTTCTTGATCGATTGACAAAATTCTCTTGAACAGATTGCGGGAGCCACTAAGTTAGTATCCAATATTAGACGGTACTTTGTTGTGGGTGAATCTGTAAAGCAGTATAATTTTTTATTATTTTAGTGTAATTTCACAGGCTGTCTATACTGTAATGGCACGACGTATCGTAACGTCAAGTTCTATTGTCCGTATTTTTAGTTTTTTTTTTAGTTATGCAACGAAAAACTTTCATTTATTATTTCATATTTTTATTTGGAATAACAATATGCCTACTAGACACATAGTTTGATATATATCGATTTTCATATTATTTGAAAATAAATTGTTTATCGAAGTAGATTTCGAAATTTATTTTCACATGCTTCCGTTAACACTAAATTTATTTGTCATTTTAATTTGGTTATTTATCGTCTTTATCTGTAATTGTTATTTTAAGTAAAGCGTGACAGGAATTTCTCGTTTATTGTTACTTAACTATTTATTTATTCTCACTCGAATTAAAAGTTCATAAAGTATGTATTTTTTAACTTTATCAGACTCGAGCACTTTAAAGCCAGATTCACACTAGCGGACAAAGGTACCGTGCGATCGCGATGAATCTGAATTTAGACTATATCTCTCTCATTAGATTACGCGTGATTATCAAAGACCGCTGCCTGATTTGACGAGATCTGACCGTACCGTGACCGCTAGTGTGAATCTGGTTTAATTGTATCAAAATGACATTAAAAATAGTATTAATTGATGGAAACTGTGTTTTAATTTAAATGTTACAAGATTTCTAATAAAGAAAAGTGTACTTTTTTTTAATGAAACTATTTCATTTCAAAAAATTAAAACAAGAACATTTAATGCGTAGCAATATTACGTATGGTACATTCTGTGAATGTAAATATTATATACACAGAATTGGGTTCCTTTATATTATATAAATTGTCTTTCGAGTGTAACAATAAGGACATATTTGGAAAAAATTCTTATTAAATTCTTTGCTCATCTAGTGATTGTTTAAGTATTGTCATTGAAGACCACAAGTACTTTCATAGCATCTCGGTTGTAAATATCCAATGGTACACTATTGTTGTTACGTCTCTGTTCAAGTGTAAGTCATTGATAGTTGTTAAATAGAACGATAGGGCAATAATAATATCTTGAAATGTATGTTTTCACTAAATGGCATTGTTGCACATAATATCTACCGCAAGGTAAAGTCTCAATGAAATTATGAAAAACCAGTTCATTAAACGGCTAATAATTATTTCTTTCTATTAAATTCATGTATCAAATATTAATCTAAGTTTCTGATGTTGCTACTGTAGTAATATAATAATATATTAACAATGTAATGTTTATACAATGTTATACAATTCTTATTGCAGGGAAATGTATGTAATACCAAACAAACGTATTCGTACACCCTTTAAAACGGATCAACTTTTTTAAAATTGGTCCAAATGACTTGTGTTCTTTTGTGAAGTTAGGGACATTAGTTTACTAAATGATGTGTAAAAAAATTGCGAGCATTCGCTCGTGTTCGCAAGAGCTCGCAAGGGTTCACTCGTGTTCAACTGAAATGCTTGCCCTACGTCCACACTGAAACGAACTCATTTCTGTTCGCAATTGATCCGAAGACTGATCGCGAGCATATTATGAAATAATGAATACAAAGAAATTTGTTTGCGCAAGTGCTGCTTTTATTGTGCTGAAGTTAAGTGCAAAAAATTAAAACAAAAGAAACAAGATACACGATGATGGCAAACTTCACTGTTTAAACAGACAACGGTATAATGAAAGCCATTTGTTAAGGGACTTATAGGAAGAAGAAGGGTATGAAATGTTCCGAAATTTCTGCAGAATGTTGATCGAAGATTTTGAAAAATTTCTACAACTTGTTGAACCAAGAATAATTAAAAGTGACACAAACTATATAGGAAAGATATTCTACGATTCTTGGCTACACTAAGCCTCTATGAGTTAAATAATGTTTTCATTACACCATTCCATTTTTATTTCACACGGAATAGAATGTTCCCGGGCAGAGCAATCGAATGCAACAAATAACCGTCTACACCAGACGAGCGCGAACACGTCTTTCTTTCGATGTACCGACACGAATTGGAGCATTCAGGAATTTGCTCGCTCAGCAGTACACACCAAACGAGCACTGAGTGAGAATGCTCGCTCGCTCTTGTTCGCTCGTGCTCGCTCGCTTGGTGAGTACGCGGCTTAAGATGCTGAAAACGTTTCCACGTCGTGGTGAATGCTGTGAAGCGGACCCGAGTTTGTCGCGTTCAACACGGGATTACTGTACTTTCAAAAACTTATACCCTCGGAAAATGCAACAAAATAAAATTGATTTTTTTTACGCATGTCGAACGTGAAAGGCGTGTTACACATAACCCATACTAGACGTTGTATTCAGGGTATTCCACCTAACGTCCACGCCTTTAGTATCTCACTTGATTTTGATCTCCCGAATATTTCTATTAATAAATAGTCAAAGTGATTTCCATTAACTTCGATACATTTTCGCACCAATCTCTCTATCGTGTATATTTTCCGTACTCAAGGTCACATGAAAGTCACAGTGTTCTAGGTCATCGAATTGGTCTTGATCTAAACTATTACGCCATGTTGATGAAAATATGCAATCCCATTAAAAAAAAAACATTGATGATCTTGAAATTTCGAAAAATATAATAATAAAGGTATTTTTAGCCAAGGCTCTACACGTTGATCGGCGGTAGATCTAGCGTTAACCTGGTTCACGTTATTTTGACAGTACAGCCATCAAAGCATTCAAAATTACTGGTGCGTGAACTAAACTAAAACTACAAAAATGGTTAAATCGTCATAACGAGACTGCGAATTTTTATGCAAAATTACATTTTCTGAAGTAATTCGTAAAGACAAGAACAAAGATAGGAATTGCTCTCTCCTTTTAAGCATCTTATTACATAGGCCCAGAATCATACAAAAAAATTTGTTATATCTGATGGAAGTTTTTTCTTTTCCTGTATGTATTTCACAGAGTCCTATAATCTGTAAATGCATAAAATTCGCAATCTAGAAATAACTAGACTGCAAATATTTTTGCAAGTTCAGAACTTGTTAATTTATAAACACGAAAGTCAGATAGAAATTTAGTTCCTGTACTAAATATCTTGTTATGTTGATAATAGTGTATATAAATATCATTGAGTTTTATTAAAATCTTTATTTTACTGCATTTGCATGTTAAAATTTTCTATAAATGCATAAACATCCGCAGTCTAGTCATAACATATAGTCGCCCTATACAGTGGCCGCTAGTTAATTGGACTTGGACTCCCTCTTATTGTATATTGGCAACACCCCTTGCTCACACGTATTTCCCACACACGCGCGCGTACCCGACTCTGTCACCAGGATGCAATACATACGGTGTCGCGGTTAACTCGCATATTTCATCACAGAATGTGTGGTGTATAGAATATTGTTTTCATGAAATCTTTCAATGATTTTAGATATTTTCAGTCATCATCAACTACATTTTGCATCATGTATAATTCATACTGAATATAAGTAGTTATGTAAACATATAAACTTATAATAAAGTCAGAGTTAGGCATGAGAATGTTAAATATTTTTAAGGTGGTTAACCATACACATCGAAAAGCTGCAAAAAGCTGAAAATTGATATGCAGTTTGTAAATGAAACTATTAATGCCTATTAAAAAAAATGCTTGTCTAGGGTGTGATAATGCATAACTTATTAAAATAGTACAAAGTAAAAGTGAACCAATAATACTGTTTGAATGATTATTCCTATAAAGATTACATATATGAAATATTTAAAAAATTCAACCCGTCTATAATTCTACAACTATTTTACCTAAGAAACAATTAATTTTTTAAGTGTATTGTCTTCAACTCATTACTTACAAAATATTTTACTTGTGAGACACTGGTGAATATATATATAAAAATATTTAATGGAAACAAATTTTTGCACAAGATACCAAAAAGTTGCAGAGAGCGGGTTAACCCTTTAACGCCCAGTGTTACTTCGGTGCAACACTAATTTTAAAAGTGTGTCCAATTCTGTCGCCGGTGAATATCTAACTTTTGTCAACACGGATACGTAGTTCTACTGATGCGAAGTAGATCTCCATGTTTTCAGTCGAGAAATCCAAATATTCCCTCCAAAAATGAATAAAAAAAGAGAAAGAAACGAAAAAAGAGGTCTGTTCAATATCGATGTTTTCAACTTCAAAATAACAAGATACAACATATGTATGTATATCTGGACCCCAGAGTCAAAGTGTATGAAGTCACACTTTCCAAACTGTACAGGAGAGCAAGTCAAAGGTGCGAAAGTGTTGTAACTTTGGAACCCTTTGGTAAGAAATAAACAAGAAACAATCACTATCTTCGAACCTATTGAATTGATTTAAGACAAGTCTCTATATGTATAAATTGTGATCTTTACTTTAATTCCCCAATGTGATGGACTTTACACTGTTTGGCTCGGAACAAAGTATGAACTTAATATCATTTTTGGACTATTATATTACAAACTAGATGACTTAAAACGAAATGAATTTTTATGAATTAATATTTGATACAGGAAACATGTAAAATGTCATTTTTTTAAAAAGTAGACTTAAAATACTCTGAGGCCCAGATATATCAGTCTGGAAATTTTCAAATAACGATTTAAGACTCTGTACGTTAAAGCGTTAAACGGTAGAGGGAAGAGGAATCTTACCAAGGATCGTCGATGTAGATGAAACTCCAGCATTGTTCACGAGGATATCAGCACCGCCTAATTTCTCTTCGACCCATTGAAATGCTCGTAAAATCTCTTCCTCCTTCGTGACGTCGCATTGGATTGGATAGATCTTGTATTTGGGGAGTTCGTCGGCTAACTCTTGAAGTTTGTGCAACCTTCTCGCGAGAGCGGCCACCTTAACATTGTGTTCAGCGAGGGATCTAGTGATCGCCGCACCAATCCCAGAGCTTGCGCCCGTCACGATCGCCACTTTTCCAGACCAACGTTCCATCGTTCACGATACCGTTTCGCTGCACTGATCTGTTTCCGCAGCACTAGGCTGCTTTATAAAGTGATTCCATCCCTATTCAGCGTACGAGGCGACCAATCAGCTTCGTGCCAGCCCCTACTGCGTTTTGGAACTTGACTATTTCGCTAACAGCTGTAACAGCCAGTTGTTATTACTTATTAGATACACGTTAACTGTTAACTGTCGAACTGTTCATTAAATTGTTAACTATTAACCCTTTGATTTCCAAATTATTGAAAAACTACCAAAGAAATATTTTCTTGTATTTCTGTTTACATTACGTGACACACAAATAATTCACTAGAACATTTTAACATTTAGAAACCGTTAAATGTCTTTTTTCATTCTTTGCCACTTGGCAACTTTGTCACTTTTGTCACAATTGTACATATATAATAATTCTCATTGTAATGTTGTTATAGATAACCAAACCAAATTTTTCTTACCTTTGATCAGTAAACCATCTTAAAATATTTGAAAGAATTTAGAGTTTTGTAGGTTACGATTGTATTTGCAATAACACTCAACACCTTAATTCCATCAAATGAAGGAAGTAGAGATTAAATAAATCTGTACTATATCATCTATACAAGACTAGAAGAAACTATTATATACTCACGGATGTGAAATATACACGATAATAAATTTTTATTTCGTAATTTAGAATACGTAGCCATATGGCAACAGTGCTTACTTCTTAAATAATCTCGAAGTGATTTTAACTGTTTGATTGCGGACCATAGTGATTGCGCTGCGACAAGGGTCTTATGTCGGCTCAATGGAACCTTTTATTGACAGTAGTTAGAATCCACTTTTCTTTGTTTCGAGATGCATAACGTTCTGCAATTTAACTTCTAGATTTTACGGTTACATTGTGTTTATGTTCGCATATGTTTTCAAAGTGAATAGGTAGTAAAGACATGGACGGTTTACTATTCTATAAAATTTCTCATAAGATTTTTTTTAGTGCTCTCCAAAAAAGAAGTCCGGTGGTGTTAAATCTGGAGAATAAGAAGGCTACAAGCGTGGAGCAGGTATGCATCCTATCCATCGCGTTCCAAACGTCTCATGAAGAGGAGCACTAACATGAATTAAGTAAATGGAGTGACGTCTGTGGCGTCATATAACTTGACGTAATTCATTCAAGAAGCAAGTCCGTATAAGTTGCAGATATGTTGCACTTGTTAATGACATAAATTAACAAATGATTCCTGCCCATAAGTTGAGGACGAGGATGAAGATTTCTGTAAATCCAAATGTTCGTATTTTGTTGATTTAAGAGGTCATGCTCAGTCAGGAGGCCGAAAAAAGAGTGTTCTTTGGGAATTTTTTTCTCAAAAACTATAAGACCTTTTTCAAAAAATGTGCTCGTGTTTCAAAGATTGTAGTTTTTAGATTATAAGGTAATTTTTTTATTTAAAAATATTTATTATAAATAAATGGTGAGCGATCTCCCGGATGTCTCTTCACAAAAAGTGGTCTACCGTGATCACTGTAACTTCGTAACGGTTCATCTGAAATTAAAAATTCAGTATGATTTACGCAATGGAAGAACCAATCTTGTCCTTGAACGTGGGGTTTTTCGAAATATTGATTAGGAATAAAATAGCGGACGTTTTCCTGAAAAACTGCGATTTTCACCTAAAAAATCACTCGTTTTTGATCAAAAACACAAGTTCTTCTGATTTGAAATAAGGCGGAAAAGGCTTCATGTAAATCGACCCAGTAGTTTTCGAGAAATATTGATCACCGATTTGAAAAATGTAGTTTCGAGAAAAACGCGTTTAAAGTTTCAAGTCAAGCTTACACTTATATAAAATGTTCATTTTTTAACCCCTGTAACTCTGTCATTTTTAATTGGATTACCTTAAAACTTGTACAGAATATTCTCGAGATGTTGTACTTAAAGAACTCGAAAAATTACTCGAAAAATTGCTCAAAAATCGTGTTAACATTTTGATGTGTCCAACAGCAAAATCTTTATCGAGCGACGTGGTAATCTGATCGGAGTCACACGATTGATTCCCACTGGAGTTAAGTCCATTAGTGCATAATCATTAACGAACGCGATAACATGTTCTTTTTACGCCAATAGTTGCACAGTCGCTCTGCTTCTCGATGTTTAATAAGATGACGTAATATTCACTGTTGCTCACTGAATGATCTTACCACTGAAAATCACAACGATATGGTACATCTTTTGCAGTGTTGTTCGATTATTCCTTACTGAATAATGATATATTTCCCTAGTTAAACTTTAATTTTCTTTTGTTTCGACAATAGCACGTTATTTATATTATCTTTCTTTGTAAAGTATAAGAACATTATAAGTACAGTGTGTTTAAAAATCATGGAAACTTTGACATCGGATTTTATGTGAACGGTTGACTTGAGACTCATGGTTCCTTTGGCACTGTTGTTTCTTGCGATCTATACGATACAATAGATAAAAAATTGTTGACCCTTTGACCTTGATTTTGAAAAAGTTGGATAAGGGGAAAAGCTACCAACCAGTTGGTATCGGGAATTACTGAAGTATATGTCAATTTAACATTCGATTTAACATTTATTTCAGTACTTGAAATAAATTTACGAAGTGGTAGAAGGCTAGTCTCTTTCGCTATTTCTTTTCCCCTAGCGGAAGCAGAGTTTGCTCGTGATGGTACCTACAGGCTAAACAGTTAAAGGGTTAACATTTAAATTCAGTTGTCTCGAAAACTAAAGGTGTCGCGACAAAGTTTTATTTTACATTTTCGACTTATTTTTGCATATAGAATGACCTCATTTCCGGTTGTAATTAAGTTTATCCGTATTTACTGATTATTCGTTGCAGCAAGAGACTGAGATATATCAAATCCACAAAGAATATTTTGTTGATCAAGCTTTTGCTTACTGACCCTGCGTTATGCGTTCATTGATGTGGGATGTTATTATGCAATACAACCGCGCCACATGGGTTTTCATAATTCCTATCGAGAAATATGAAACTATTAAGTATTTGCACATATTTGGTTACATGTTTATGAAACACCGAGAAATATGAGACTGTTAGGCAATTGCATGTGAAACATCGGGAAATATGAAACTATTCGGTAAATGTAAGGAAAACATCACTTTTATTGATTGGTATATTCAGTTACACTTTCGTGAACGAAAATGATTAACAACGGTCGTCATATATCCAGTTATGGTAGAGCTCGATCTGTACTTTCTACGAGGCACTTGTAGCGGCATTACCTACTAGAGGTCTACCGAGTTGACAACTTTCCCGTAACTACCTGAAGCCTTCCTCGTTTGTATACATATATGTACATATACGTCCTTAACCCACCATCGAATATCCTAGCGCCTAAGGCAAGGTTTACTACAGGCGTCAGCAACCTATGACCCGCGGGTCACCAAGTGACCCATTTGATAATTTCAAGTGACCCACTTGAGTTCCGCAAATAAAGTATAATATATAAAAATAAATTAAAAAACGTAAACATGAAACAAACACTTTGAGAAAATATAAATAATAGGTTAACATTTTGGTTTGATTACAATGAAATTGAAATACGCAACTCGCGTTGGATCCCCACCAGGCCACGCGCCGAGGAAGGGAAACCCCTCAGGGTTCTTCTTTAGTAGAACAGACCATAGATATTTCCACTTAAATATGTCACGAATTATTAACTTTTTCACATAATACCTTAATACTTTATTACGCAGCATGTTTAGAAGAATCGATTTATATAAAAAGAAATATTTTTATTCCATAGTATTTCAATATCATTAATAAAAGGACATAATTAATTTTGAGAACCCAAAAGATCCTTCACCTACGAAAAAACTGTTACTGCTAAGTAATAGCCCTCTCCATACTAAAAAACTTCTGTGAATACACTATTCTGATATCTCTAAAAATAACGGAGATAATTATCATAACCGTATAGTGCGTATCTCCAGCTCACCCTATATGCAGCTGCGTTTCACAACTGAAGGGCCGAGTGGTGGGGAAAGCGCTCGGGTAACTGGTCACTGACTCCTGCACGGTTCTTGAAAATTTTGCCCTCTACAGTCCCGACACGTGCGGGAATCGAATGTTTACTGTATTTGTTTCAACAATAAAACTACTAACAAATATTCAAAATAAATTTTGTTGGAATATTACTGGAAACAATTGTATGCATTATATACATTATTAGTAGTTTCATAAGTAACTTCAACGATTCAGCCGATTGTAAATACATATACAGGGTGTCCCACATAACGTGAGCACTTTTAGTACCTCACTTGCTTTTGATTTGCACAAAATTTATTTCAATGATATAATTGCTCAAAATGATGTCCATAAATTTTTATACATTTTTGCACTAATCCCGCTGTCGTAGTTATTTTATTATTTGAATCTACTCTTATACATTTTTGGATTTTTCGTAATCAAGATCACGTGCAGGTCAGACTATTATAGGTCATTGGATTGTTCTTGATTTCAACTATTACACCACACTGATAAAAATATGTAGTCCCAATTGGCGGTGTACTCAAGCCTTGAATCTCAAGGCTGATATACAGACATTTGCTACAACTTCGGTTTGCAAATGAGGTAATGAACTGAAGATTTTTGCAATGTTAAGTTGATTTAAACCTGACATGCTTGTAGGTATTAAACCATGCGATATATTCTAAAAAAAACGATATGAACGTATAATTTGATCTGCTTCTTTCGTTATTTTGTTCGATTAAAATTCGAGGTACACTCCCGTCCATAAGTTACAGGACACTTGATGGCTTTTAACAAATGGAAATCGAGAAAGGAATGCAATTTCACGGAATTATTCTGTTTTTCGATAATATAGCGATCTTAAACGTATCTCAAACATCTTCTAGAATTACTCAACAAAAATTGCATCAATTTAATGCAATCGAATAAGTCTGCATGTCTAAAAAGTCTAAGAGCAAGAGAACAAATTACCAAAGGAAGAATAAAAGTAACAAAAAACAAGTAGAAG